TATTTTTGTTTCCCTTCCCTTATGTTCATCTGTTTTGTCTCTTAAAGTCCTCATATGAGTGAAGTCATATGATTTTTGTCTTTATCTGACTAATTTCACTTAGCATAATACCCTCCAGTTCCATCCACGTAGTTGCAAATGGCAAGATTTCATTCTTTTTGATTGCCAAGTGATACTCCATTGTATATATATATATCACATCTTCTTTATCCATTCATCCATCGATGGACATTTGGGCTCTTTCCATACTTTGACTATTGTTCATAGTGCCGCTATAAACATGGGGGTGCATGTGTCCCTTCGAAACAGCACACCTGTATCCCCTGGATAAATGCCTAGCAGTGCAATTGCTGGGTCGTAGGGTAGTTCTGTTTTTAGTTTTTTGAGGAACCTCCATACTGTTTTCCAGAGTGGCTGCACCAGCTTGCATTCCCATATCATAGTTTTAATTTATAATAGTTCCTTCTGGTTCTCTGGTTGTAAGTTTTCTTTTACCTGCTTTGTTGCTGTTTCCTGAGGGAGGAGGAACGAGTTCATGTACTTGTTTTTGTTTCTCTCCTGTTAGAGCTTTACTCAAATATCTGGTGATCCTAGGCTGTCCATTCATATTTAAGTGAGGCTTGTTCATATTAGGGTTATCAAATAGTGAACCTTTGCATTGGGGTCACTCAGGGTCAGCATCTAATGGCTTTTCTCTCAACTGCTTGGTGCATCCAGAGAACTCTTGTCTCCTACAAGGGTGCCAATGTGTTTGATATCCTGGGAGCAGAGTGGGGGAAACAGACCGACAGTTCCATAATTTGTCGTGTATACTTGCACTTAATCCCAATTCTCAGTCTCAATATTAACCCTGTTCGCTACTGTGCCTGGACTTCCTGAGTCCGAAACCTGTCTGGTTCAGTTTCTCCAGAGAATAAAGCCCTGTTCTCCTGTGAGGGTGCTGGAAGTGATGGAAACTTGGTTGTGCAAGATGGCAGAGGGGCCCCGGGACCCAGTTTATTCTTGCCATGCACATTCTTGTGAGCACCGAGCCTCCCAGTACTCTCCTCCTTGGCAGGCCCTTAGCTTAAGTGCCTCCCCTCTGGCAAGTCAGCTCTGCTGCCCTTTCCTGTTCTCTTTGACCTTATGGGTGGACACCCTTTACATTTCCTTGCTGTCTTTCTGATGACGACTCAGGAGACGAGGTAAACTCCAAGTTGAATGATCAGCCTTCCTCCTACTTACAGGCTGAACCTCCTCGGAAGAGCAACTGGAGACAGAAGCATGAGTCTTTCATCTGTACCCTCCGTCAGGCTCGAGAAGTCCAGCAGGTAATTGCCAAAGGTGGAAACCCCTCAGACTTGCCTCCTATCCTGCCTGCAGAAAATCCAGATTATATTCAGTGTCCTCACTGTAGTCGCCACTTTGCCCCCAAGGTGGCTGAGCGGCACATTCCCAAGTGTAAGACCATCAAGAACCGGCCTCCACCTCCAAGGAAGCATCCCAGTTGAGCGGACAACAGTGAAAGCCTCCTTGATAATTCAGAAGGCTCTGCTTCTCTTCAGCAGTAAATGGGAGTAGAATAATTTGATGGAAAACAGAACTAAAAGTTTTATACCTCCCCCATCTGCCTGCAGAGCTTCAATCAGTGAGGAGAGACCCTTTGCTAAGCAGCAGGAGGCAAAAGGAAGCCTCAGCTTCCCACTAAATTACCAGCTCAGGCTGGAGTGCCTTGTTATTGCCCTAAGAACGGATGGCTGAAGACACTCGAGAGGCGAGCGGGCTACATTAAAGCTCTGTTCTTGCAAGCCCGACTCGTGATGTGTGCTGGTTAAGTGCCTGCATTTGCTCTGCCTTCTTGCCGCTGCCTCTGCATGTATGTCTGTGGTTCCAGTTAACTCTTCTCTTGCAGGAAGTTGGTTCATTACATTGAGTTGGGTCAGAGGATCATGATCACCCAGGTGGTATCTTATGAAAGATAATACGATTTTGCCGTTAAGGCAAATGGAAATTTATCCTTGACCTCCCTGATGCATGGTCCTGCCAAAAGCTAATACAAGTCGGTAAGGTTAGGGTGCCAGTATATCCTAAATCCTCCTGTGGTTACTGTGTACTAAAGGGAAACTCATCTTTATGTGCTTTACAGGGTAAAGGGTGGGGGGGAGCACCCTGTATGTCTCAGTAGTTGTTCTTTTCTAATGGATTTCATGTCAAAAAAAAAAAAAATGAAGAAACTTCAGTTTCAGCCACTGCTAGCATTCTGCTTTGAAATCAGTTTGCTTGTATGGCTTTTTAAAATGAGAACAAAATCTGGGGCGCCTGGGTGGCGCAGTCGGTTAAGCGTCCGACTTCAGCCAGGTCATGATCTCGCGGTCTGAGTTCGAGCCCCGCGTCAGGCTCTGGGCGGATGGCTCAGAGCCTGGAGCCTGCTTCCGATTCTGTGTCTCTCTCTCTCTCTGCCCCTCCCCCATTCATGCTCTGTCTCTCTCTGTCCCAAAAATAAATAAACGTTGAAAAAAAAAATTTAAAAATAAAATGAGAACAAAATCTACCATCAAAGCAAGCTGAGACATTCCCGTGGCACACGTCCCTCTCCATTACACCACAGTAAACATCTATCTTAGCAAGTAAACAGATGAAAAAGATACCAGATCTTTTTAATTTTCCCTGTGCAGAATTGTGCATAGTGCAAGTAACCTTCATAATTAGACCTTCAATAAATGGGGTTTGGAGATTAAAATTAAATAATAAAAAGAGGAAGTCCTAGATTGGTCAAATGGGAGAAGTGATAAGGTAATGCCTGTCAGGGGTAGTATCAGTTCAGATAGGATGAAGATTGCACGACAGATCTGAAATAACTGATCTGATTATGGTCCTGAGACCATCACTCAAATTGTTAGTTTCAAATATTAGAGGGGTGCCTCAGTGGCACAGTCAGTTGAGCATCCCACTTTGGCTCAGGTCACGATCTCACGGTTTGCGGGTTCAAGACCCACATCGGGCTCTGTGCTGACAGCTCAGAGCCTGGAGCCTGCTTCGGATCCTCTGTCCGCCTCTCCCTCTGCCCCTTCTCCGCTCGTACTTTCTCAAAAATAAATAAACTTAAAAGAAAAGAAAAAGAATGGGGTGCCTGGGTGGCTCAGTCGGTTAAGCGTCCGACTTCAGCTCGGGTCATGATCTCACGGTCCGTGAGTTTGAGCCTCGCATCGGGCTCTGTGCTGACAGCTCAGAGCCTGGAGCCTGCTTTGGATTCTCTGTCTCCCTCTCTCTCTGCCCCTCCCCCCCCACCTCACTCTCTCTCTCTGTCTCTCAAAAATAAATAAACATTAAAAAAAATACTGGAAAAAAAACACCCAACCTGACCTGGGCCAATGTGACTAGGCAGACAATAAAGCCATATTTTACTAAACAATAAATGGCCACTCACTCTTGTTCCATTTCCTCTGCAGCTTCTGCTGATTGGGCTAACAGATCAGATCAATATGAAATATGAACTTAAAATTTTAGCTGTGAAGCTGAAAAAAATTTATATACTTAAAAAACAGTACATATTAAATTGCTTTATGTTCTTCCTAATTGTTGCAAAGAGGGATCACATAATGGAGCTTTAGGTTGGCCACTCGAAGAACCCTCACACACAGTGGATATTTAAACCGATATATACATTCATTCCCAGGCAGGCCTAGTGAGTTACAAATTGTAAGTTTCACACTTGATGGTAAAAGCAATAGATGGCAAGAATGAGCTGTGGCCAAGGCCACAAAGTGGTAGCTTATGGACTGCTTTGTCCTACAGATGTGTTTTATTTGGCTGGTACGGAACTAAAACTGGATTGACATTTAAAAATTGGGATATGGAGGGGCACCTGGGTGACTCAGTCGGTTCTGTGTCCAACTACGACTTAGGTCATGATCTCATGGTTTGTGGGTTCAAGCCCCATGTCGGGCTCTGTGCTGACAACTCAGAGCCTACAGCCAGCTTCAGATTCTGTCTCCCTCTCTCTGCTCCTCCCCTGCTCGTGCTGTCTCTCTCTCTCTCAAAAATAAATGTTAAAAAAAAAAATTAAAAATAAATAAAAATAAAAATTGGGATATGGAGAATCTCTTGAAAAGCTGGAAGTTCTGGAAACACCAGGCCAGCAACCCTGCATAGCACCACTGAATGTCCTTCAGACAGGCTGGCCACTCAGATAACCACAGCCCCTCCTGGCCTGCTTCACTTATTTGCCTTATCTGCCTGGCTCAACAGGCACTTGGGTTTGGGATCCCTGAATGATGTTATTAAGTTCGCAGATCAGGGTCCTCCGGGGGAACAAATGTATGTGTGAGAAGTGCTGTCTTTAGACACAGGAAGCAGTTATTCATTCTTACATTGCTAGAGAAATAAAATAGTCGATACCTTAGTGTTCCCTCCACTCTCAACATGTTTAGGCCTTGCTTATATTAGGAATATCTATTAGTCTTTTAAATTTAGCTTGATCTATCTTTGGGAAGAGGTCAGAACCCTTTTTCTATCTAAGTCCATTCCTGGATAGCAGAGAATAATAGTGGATAAATAAATGCTGCTTGTTAATGTCCATGTGTTATACTACTTTATCTAAGAAACTTCAGTACATGCAAATGTTACAAATTTTAAAGTTCGAAAGGTTAATAAACAATGGGGAGAAAATCTCATGGTGAAACTCACTTCATACAAAAGTATACGCAGACGTGCTGAGAGAGTATTTCCTAACAGCAGCGTATTTAATGCAGCCTCGTACCTTGTGGCCAACATTTGCTTTTGGTCATTAACTTCTCGTTCTTCCCAACTACAAAGGAGGTAGTGCAGATGTGATAAAGTGTTTTTCTCTCTAATGTTCCTGATTCTGTGAGGTTCAGTGATCAGCATGTTTATTTCCATAGTTAATCATTGAAGTAATAAATGATTTTTGGCTTTGTGGCAGGAAGGAACATGTTTTGTAGTCCTGACTACAGCCCAGCCTGCCTTGACACTAATGAATAATACTACTTTGGAGGCCCAGGGATACTCATCTGAAAGAATTTATTTATAATACATCCTCGCTCCAGAGCTGTTCTTTCTCTTATGAATGTTTCCAAATATATGGCAAATCAAATGAAATTTGAGTTTAAGGCTGCTTTTGCTTTAAACTTTAATGACATGCTCAGCCAAGAGAAGTGATAACTTGGCTATGCCAGGGAGACCAAATACAGTTCACCCTCTTTGACGGAAAACAGCTTTATAAACATAGACACACATTATCACTTGAAAAAGTCCACTGTGACTGAGGGGTAAGTATAAGAAATGATCCTTCCTCTTTCAGTGGCTCATTTTTTCCCTTCCTTCTGCATTTTAAGCACTTGAGAAGTTTGGGGAAAAAAGTTGTAGCAGCAGAAACGATTCTATAAGAAAAAGAAACTGGAAAAAAGCAAAAGATTATTTGTGCAAATGTCCCTTGTGTTGTTTCTATTACAAGGTCATTTATTTATTTATATAAAGACTCATGGAATCAAAGATTCATGAAGGCCTAGAATCTGGGTGTTTCATCCCCAGTGACTAAGGTCCGTGCGCAGGCATAGCACTGATTGAGAGTTTAAATGTTTATTTAAAACAGAAATGCCAAACCACTCCACCCTCAACCTTTCAAACATCTGGCTAACAATAAGCTAGTTCTTCAGCAACAATGTCAGAGCAGCGGAGTAACTCAGGTTATATTGTAACTCAAAAGCAATACTACTAGAAAACTGAAAACACCTAGCGCTGCAGAAAGAACGGCAGGACAAACTCGAAGAGAATTAGCTATAAAAAAACCATTCAAAGGCATTTCTGCTGCCTAACCTTTCACTTTTTATCTAATGCATGGCTGCCACCTTTGAACTGGTTTCTACTTGCATAGCTATTTGGTGGGAAAAATCATACGGCTGTCCCAGGCACAATTTGGGAAAGTGCAAATTGTCTCTAAGGCACAGAACTCAGATTCTCAGCCAGATTACCAGCAAACTAGACTTCCCAAGGGAACATGCTAGAGAAAATGACCAGTGTTCCCCTGCTAGAGAATGGCTCCCCTCTGGAACAAGAGCAGGGCTCTCCCCCTCCCTCTGATGCTTACTTTCATCCCTGTCTCAGCAATGTGCCCCTGTTCCTCCGTTCCACAGCAGAAGCAATACTCAGGATTAACACCCAAACTGAGCCTGCCTCTCAGGCCTGCTGAGACGGTGAGTCTGAGGGATACAGGAACGTGAAAGGCCAGTCAGCCCTTAAAAAAATCAAAGGTGCATTTACATGATGAACCAAAACCCATTGTTAGGGTTTACAGCAAACCCCCAAGTCCCCAGAACTTGTAACTTTAATCTGGGGTTGGCCCCTTCCCTTATTTTAAGAAAAGGCTTCAGTGATTACGTTAGTACCATTGTACTAGGCTTCCCAGAATTGAGAAAACAATGGGAACATCAAACCAAAGAAGATCCCATTGAACAGAGTTGCCCATCCCCAGCCATGGGGTCTTCCCCAAGCATGAGCCTTTACGCCACCAGTTTTAGGGAAATAGCAAAATTTCCATTGCACAGGTCCTTCCAAAATATTATAGAGATATCAAACATTCATTTTTGGGGTTTGGGGAAAATGAAACACAAATTAATTTAGCTGTTTCTAGGAAGGCAGGATGTGAGACTCATCAAGGCAGCCCCTATGACCCCAAACGCTAACGGAACATTGCATAAGGCTAGGTGGAAACCCAAAGCTCATATCCTTAAGTAAAACCATCAAAAGCTTTGAGGACACTTTCTCTCTTTGGGAAAGCTGGTTCGTTCCTGTCCATAAGGACATAATGACTATGGGATTAGAACGGAGCTCTCAGCCAAATTCCTTTCACTTGGCGGCTTCTGCCTGTTTTGTTAGGCTTCAGGGACTACCAGGTTTTGGTGCTGGCTTTGGGCCACTCAAGTAGGAAAGATGATACAGATTCACTGATATGGCTTCATAAAACACCAAAAGGGGAAAATACTGACTAGACATACAGAAAGGGAGTGGTTGGGGCTGCTGAAGTCAAGGTTAGAACCCTAAGAGCCACGAAGGCAGAGGCACTCTAGACCTTCTTAAAGATACCAAGTAGAGGCAGCTACAGGAGGCCCTCTCTCCCTCATGGTTTTCTCTTAAGGCTGTTCTATTGCCCCACTGACTCAATTCTCGATGAAGCACCTCACTTTTTAGAGGCATCTTCCAAAGTTAGGAAATCCTACCTGCATCGGTCACAGACTGAAACTCCAGCTGTGTGATGAGGAGGGACCTAGCCTTCTTTCTTGACTCCTCACTGAAGAAATTTCAATCGACCCTCAGAGGAAAAGCAATCTAAGCCCGCTTTTCCTCCTAAAGCATTTAGCTGCGCAAAGTAACTGAACTTTCTGAAAACAAGCCTAGATTGACTCCACCAGACATATTTTCCCAGACTCAGGGCTCCTGAGAGGGTTTTACCACTTCGCCGCTCTCCAGACGACCCTGGATGGGCCCCACCTGGTTCCAGCCCACTCAAGTTTTACACTTTTCCCTCCTCCACCCAGAGGTGCAATGCCTGGTGTTGAATTCCCAAGGCAGCTTCCAAGTAATGGTGAAATGATAAATGGGATATAAGCTGCTACCAGCAAAATTAAGGTGAGCATTGTGTCTCCTCTTCAAAGGTGGGATCACCAGATGAGGTACAGAGCTGCTGTTGCTATGGCAGTCACTGAGGACAAAGCCAGGGCCATGGGGCCCTTCCATTCTCCAAACAAAACCACTCCTAGATCCTATCTAAGAGGCAATGCCACTCTCCAAGTGTACACGGAAAGTGCTTTGGAGCCTCCGCCTTGCACTCCTTGTCTGCAAGTGAACAAAGCCAGGAAAGCGCTCTCTGCATTCAGTAAGTGTGCTGTGAAGTTCTTTGGATCCCAGTTTCCTGGAGGCCATACGGGCTCAGGAGACTAGAGGCTGGGTCGACAGGAGTCTGTTCCCAGGAGGCACCAGGAATCTGAATCTAAGTCAGGCTTTGGATCCATTTCCATCTCTTCCTTTGCTGTCTGAGTTCCTTTGGAATGCATCCCCTCCTGTCCAAACAAAACACAATTCCACATTAACAATACTGCCACCAGTCACCGCAGTCCAGGACTAGGTTTTCAATGTTGACTTCTAAGGATCTGTGGCCACAGTTTTGTGAGAAGCTCGTAATACTACCCTTAGATAATACCTTAATAATGCTACCTTAAATAAAGCCAACACCTTTACACTTGCTGCAGGCAGGGTGACCAACTGTTTGCCCAGGACTGTAGGATTTTCTGGAATGCAGAACTCTAAGTTTTAAAACTGAGACAACCATGAGGTGCCTGGGTAGCTCAGTCGGTTAAAAGTCTGACTTCAGCTCAGGTCATGATCTTGTGGTTTGTGGGTTTGAGCCCCATACCCGGCTTGCTGCTGTCAGCATGGAGCCCGCTTTGGATCCTCTGTCTCCCTGTCTCTGCCCCTCCACCACGCATGCATGCACGTGTATGCCCTCTCTCTTTCAAAAATAAATAAACATTAACAATAAATAAAAGTGAGACAGCCCTAAGCCAAACAATCCTCCTGCCTGCCACGGCTGCCAATCACCCCATGCTTGCCTCGAGTATATTACTTCCCAAAGTCCTTTCATAGACAAGATTTCATTTAATCCTCAAAACAACCATAACAAAGTACATGGTATTATTTGCCCTTTTTAGGTGAGAAACCAAGACTCACAGAAACAAATTTGTCCAGACACACAAAACTGACAAATGGCAAAGCCAAGGGTTGAACCCTATTTCCCAGTCCTGGTTCACTCTCAATAGAACTAATGGCTAAAAGAGCTATGGCTCTTGATAAACAATGCAAACAGCATTGAAATTATTTTTATCAAAAATGTTTAATATGAACCTAATTAAGTCGTAAGTCTAACTTCTAGTTTATAGAAATGACAGGGTGACAAAAGAACAAGTTAAATAATGTTCTAAGAAGAAAAGACAAATCCAGAATGTAGCACATTTTGTTAAAGAGCCGACCCTGTTTCTTCAACAAATTGATGCCATGAAAATTTAAAAAAGAAAAGTTCATATACTGAAAAAAAAAAAAATCATATATTGAAAAAAAAAGGAAACCAATTTGACAATAAACTTCATATATTGAAAAAAAAAGTGATGGTAGTAGAAAGACGTATTCTAGATTAAAAAAAATAAGAGATATAACAATGTGATAATGTAATGTAGGGCCCTTGACTGGATTCTGGACTCATAAAAAAAAAAAAAGTTATAGAGAACATTTTTGTGGGAAAACTGGGAAAATTCGACTATCAATTGGGTACTGGATGAAAATTGAGAATATCAGTGTTGAGTGTGATAGTAGTTTGGTGGTTAGCTGGGAGAATGAATGTGTTTATTTTTGGATTTGTGTAAGAAAGTATTTAGAGGGGCTATGTTATGACTTTTATAATCTATTTGAAAATGGTTTAGCAAAATAAAAAATATATACACACACATATACCCACATATATTTTAAATACACACAGATATATACCCCCACATATTTTAAATGCACACACACACACACACACACACTTTTGAAACATGTTAACAATTGTTCAATCTAGATGGTGGATTATGAGTATTCGCTGAACTATATGTTTATAAAGTTTTTCATAGTAACAAGTAAAAGAGGGGTGCCTGGGTGGCTCCGTCAATTAAACACCCAACTCTTGATTTCAGCTCATGATCTCATGGTTCGTGGGACTGAGCCCCAAGTCGGGCTTTGTGCTGTCAGCACGGAGCCTTCTTGGGATTCTGTCCTCTCTCTCTGTCCCTCTCCCACTCACACGCGCACTCTCTCAAAATAAATAAGCATTAAAAAAAATAATAAAAGAAAAATATACAATAACAAAAACCAAAGTGATGAAAATGATCTAACCGAGGTGCCTGAACAAGGCCCATGGCTGCTGAAATTAATTACATAAGTTACATCATCAAAAGATAAGTCTCTGCAAAGCAAAAGGTCTATTTCAATTCTTGGGTGTTTTGTTTCTGTGACTCTTCAAAACAGAGTTAGAAATTGAATTATTCCTTTAATGCTCTCACCTGCTGTCCTCCTTCTAATTTCTTGTTCAGCTTCTGTAGTTGGGTAAAAATCTGGAGGTTTTCTTGCTGTAGCTTCTGTTGTTCAGCCAGACACTTTAACACCAGCCCGTGCAATCTCTCAACCTCTCCCTGCAGAGTGCTGCAGGCACAGGTAGGAGTTAATGGCGTTCCCTTCCCAGCACAGGTCTCTGCAGGACTCAGCCGAGGTGGCTAAGGAGAGAAGAAACAGGTCACAGGGGCTTCTGTGTGCTTATCCCAACTCCCCAATCCAACCTTCCTCGAAATACTATCGGACCTTACTTTAAAAGTAATAAGATAAACCACACACACACACACAAAGTAAATGCAAGAGAAACAGAAAGCTGCTGGGATTACAATAGCACCTGGCTCTAACATAACAGCAAGAGAACTCTCAGTGCCTCAGTCTCCATTATGCTAAGGTAAAAAGAACAATCACCTGTTTTGGAGAACTTGGCAATTAAATTTAAAGTGCATGGCTATCATCCCATTTAAAATGCTGAAGTGGGGGATATGGTTTGGAACAAGTCTTTCTGATCACAGTGAGAACACTGTGACCCAACAGGTCAATATTCATGAAATGTAGTGGATCACACTTTAGAAGAGATTTAAAAGGTGTTCAGTAAATAGGACTGCCAAAATAATTCAAGAAAGTTAATTGATAGAGGAATTTAAATGTTCACCTTAAAGTTTCAAAGGTTTTATTACACCTTTTCTAGTCTGGATTTCTCTCCTTTCTTCCACTGTACTTCGTTTATAGGAAGGGTCAGCAAATGATAGCCAAATCCGGCCTATTGCCTGTTTTTGTAAATGAAGTCTTATTGGAACACAGTCATGCTCATTCATTATGTATCATCTACAGCTGCTTTTATGCTACAGCGTTGACTAGTTGCAAAAGGGACTGCATGGTCCATAAGCCTAAAATAGTGACTACGTGGCCCTTTATAGAAAAAGCTTGGTGACCCCTGGTTTACATTTGAGGTACTTACCACAATTTGATTTCTACCAAGGTTAGGCACACGTGTGTGGCTCCCTCACGAGACTACAAGCATTATTTCTTACTCATATTTAGAGCCCCCAACCTACACTAGCAGTGTCAAGAAAAAGTGGATTTGAATTTTGGAACTTTAATTTTGGTACTTCTGAGGCAAAGAGAAAAGAAAGTCCTCTGGTGTGGAGAACTGTTAGTGCATCAGGAATGTGAAAGGATCAATGCTTCTCCAAGGCAACTCAGGTAAGCCTAGGGCAGACGCTTTAAGCACTGCCGAGTAGACAGTATAATGAGTTGATTCAGGGCAGTGGGAGACTGAGGAAGCTGGAGGAGACAGGCCAGGAGAAGTGGAGAGAGCTCTCTGGTTACCTAGTTGTGACTCAAAGGCAAAAAGTTCAGTTACCCAGGCTCCTACTGGGGGCTTGTGTTCCGAAGGAGCTTCAGAGGCCACTTTGAGTCCTTGCAGCTCTTCATAGGGCAGGGTGTCTTTCTCAGACTCTGAAAAAGCTGTACTTAGGGGAGATGGGCTGTCAGGCATGGGGATGAATTCTGCATTTTCCAGCTCCTATGTATAAGACAAAGAATCTCATCAGTTCTGTTTGAGCCATCTATTTTCTTTCTCCCAAATTCCCATCTTGCTATAGCTTTCACTCTGCTGTGACATCAGCACCCCCTAGTGGGGCATGACAGTTGTGAGTACAACTCAGCTCACCGGGCCTGTCAATAGGACATCCCTTCCTCAGAGGAGTAACAGTGATTTGAATTCAAACTCAAATTCAAGAACATGGTTTGGAGTGTGTGGCATATCTCCTTGACACACTTATTCTACACAGTCTGTTCGAGCTGGGAAGCTTGAAGGTGATGGCAGTGAGGCCAATGCCCAGGCTGAAACGTTAGGTACAACAGTGTACTGCCTCTTGCATTCATACTCCTAACTGGCTATCAAGTTTCGTCATCTTACGCGGGAAACTAAATCTCCAGATTTTTTTTTTACTTAAAAATATAAATTTCACAAACTACAATGTAGTTTGACAAAATACAGAAAATGACAAAATCCAGATGGGCAAAAAGACCAGCAATTCCATCACTCATAAATAAGCACTGTTAAAATGAGCAATACTGTGTTCAGTCTTTATAGCAGATACTCTTCTACGCATTACATATTTTCTAAGAGAACGGGATACTGCTGCACAGGTATTCCATCTTTTTCTGCCCAGCCACATGTTGTAGCCAACTTTCCATCTAAATATACTCCAACATTTTTACTATCCGCACTTCAACATTCATAACCTCTCTATTGTAAAACATTCCAACTGCCCCAATAGTCCACTTCTACAAACCACAGTACAAAATCTCTAAGCTTAATCTGCACACATGCATTACAAAGACTACTTCAAGGAAGATTTTATTAATTTAAATTCATTTAATACCGGTATGAGAACATTTTGTATCTCTTCTTGTCAGGAAGAAAAAAGAATTAGAGGTTTGGTAGTTTCGTTCCAGGTGGAAGTCAGAAACCTCGATGCCTACTGCAAAACGCTTGAACAGGGCATGGGACACGGAGAGATTCTGACGGCTCCTTTCTAGTTCCTGTAAAGGGTCTGCTATTTTATCGAAGATACCTCTGCCAAAGGAATTACCTTTCGAAGCCAGCCAGGGCAGGAGCTGCTGGCCCCACTAATGATCCCCATGGCCTCCGTGGGACTGACTAAACCTTCCATTCCTCGGTCTGCTTCCATTGTTCCTCGGAAGCCTCCGCTTGGATCAGGAGTTTCAGATTCCCGCTGACTGTCCTCCTCTTCTCCCCCACCGCCGCCGCCTCCTGGGCTAGCACTCTGAACCACTGACAGATACACAGCACAGAAAGAGAGAGCCTTGCTAGGCAGCAAGAAAGATTTACGATCTCACAGCCCCCCTGACCCCTGGAGAGCTTCCTAGAGTCGCATGAAGTAGTAGCAACAGTGTCAAGATATTTGGGACTAAATTTGTAGTTTTTATACAAGATATTGAATATCAGCGTCTTTATAATGATAATTGACTTCTACATCCCAAACTTACTCATTTCTATGTCCATAGCAGATTATCAATGTTCTAAAGCACTACTGAACAGCCGCCCCAACCACAGCTCATTGAATCTACCACCCGTGCTTTAATAGATACATCCAGGCTCTAGCATTCTCCACCAAGGCTTGTCAAGGTTTCGTATAAATACAAAGCACTTTCACATTTGAGCCAAACAACTCTTAAAATGGCCAAATAAACTCACCACTAACTTCCTTTCTGGAGAAGTCTTCAACCATTAAATTCATTAAGTTCTTTTGATAACGATTTGTAAGAATTTTTAAAATATTATGGCTGGTTTTTTCATATCATGCAGCACATTCCAAGTTATCTTAATGAAGACTAGCTGACGTGTGGTCAAAAAATGGAATGAAATTTTAATATGGGCCAAAAAGATGTATTTGCTAAAGCTAAAAAAGTAAGTGCATGGTATATTCCAAAGTTAAACGTAAAGGACTGTTCATGATCACCAGCTATAGTGGCTTGCAGACTGTGTCACACTGTGATCCTACCGAAGCAGCAGACCTGGAGATGCCAACAAAAGCTCCGAAGCTTGTTTTAAATGGCTTTTGAAAATAACGTTACATTTGAAATCTACAAAAGACTATTTTTTTTTTTTTCCAACGTTTTATTTATTTTTGGGACAGAGAGAGACACAGCATGAACGGGGAGGGGCAGAGAGAGAGGGAGACACAGAATCAGAAACAGGCTCCAGGCTCTGAGCCATCAGCCCAGAGCCCGACGCGGGGCTCGAACTCACGGACCGCGAGATCGTGACCTGGCTGAAGTCGGACGCTTAACCGACTGCGCCACCCAGGCGCCCCTACAAAAGACTATTTTAACACACGTGTAAGTTTTGACGCCTAACAAAACAAAAACGTGAATCTACCACTTGAAGAACTAGAACTGTACTTTCCAATACGGTAGTCACTAGCCATATATGGCTATTTAAATTTAAATAAAAAGTTCAGTTCCTCAGTCACGGTAGCCACTTTTCAAGTGCTGGACAGCAAACATATAGAACATTTCCACTGTTGCAGAACGATTTATGGGACAGTGCTGAACTAAAACATTACCTGTATCATATCTGTCTTGTGAATTCCTTCTCTTTCTCTGGCCTCCTACCTACATGTAACTACTGATTAATTCTGTATTTGTCATTTCTTTATATAGTTTTTAAAGTTTATTTTGAGAGCGAGCGAGCGCCCGTACGTGTGAACAAGGGAGGGGCAGAGACAGAGAGAGAGAATCCTAAATAGACTCTGCATGGTCAGCACAGAGCCCAACGTGGGGCTCGATCCTACAAGTCATGACCCCTGAAGTCATGATCCCCTTCATGATCCCTGAAGTCATGACCTGAGCCAAAATCAGGAGTCGGACACTCCACTGGAAACACCTCATAGAGTGTATGTGTGGTTTCCTTTATTCACAGAGCTATGTGTTAGATCTGTGGGAAAGAACTACAAGACATTTATCTGCTAAAACACTGAAAGACCCTAACGGTCAAATTTTTTAAATCTTATGTATTGGAATATCCCAAGAATCTGTACAGTTCTAGGCTGTGCTAGTTTAGGGGTGAATGGGATTTGAACTCATTCACGTTTAGAGGGTGTTTGAAATTGAGAACCAGGTAGACCCATCTATTCTGACCTTAAACATGACCCAAAGTAAAAAAACTGGATCCCAAAGATTACAGGTGGGGAATTCTTGAAGCATATCCATATTCAAGTGGAGATTAAAGAAGCCCAACGGAAAGAACTCTGTACTAACGGTGCCAACTGTGGACTGAACAAAAGCTCTTTCTAAAAGGGCTATTTTGAAGATTGTGATTCTGACCCAGAGGGAACCACAGTGACTGGGAGAGGAAGGAATCACAGGTTAAAATTCTTAAATAAAAATTTTTGACTTAAAAAAAAAAAAGAGTCTAGATACTGAACCGACTGAGCCATCCAGGCACTTCTATCATTTCTTCTTAAAAAAAAAAAAAAATCAATCACATACTTATATATCCTTAAGCAATATATAAATCTGGCTTGTTTTTCAACTTGATAAAAAGGCACATAGTCTGCTGCAACTTCCTTTTTACATTTCACATTATAGACCTATCTGTAGATGTTCATTTCTACTTTCGTACAGTATTCCACTGGATGGTTAGAACCCATCCAACCAAAAAGTATTTATTGAACATTCACCATTTGCTGGGCACTCTTCTAGGTGATGTGGATAAAACTAATGAATAAAAAACCCCCAAAATCCCTGCCCTTATAGAGTTTACATTTTCCAGCTAATTGATATGTGCTTTTAATCTTATTTTTTCCATTAAATACTGTTCCAGCAAAACAACGCTGTAAGAGAACAGCTGTGATTAGCAAAAAGATATTTTATCATTTGTGACAGATATTAATATGCACAAATAAATGCTGAGCAATAGATTACTAAAAGAAACTAATAAAAGGTATGGTGTGTGTGTGTGTGTGTGTGTGTGTAAACTAGAGTTCAACAAGTCTAGATCAGACTTTCAACTTTCTTTTTCTTGGATTAATTTGCTTTTATTCTGGGTCTTTATCTGTGTTGATTCTACAAACTATCAGAATCCAAGTTCCGAGACATCAAAGAGTACAGGTACTTTAGAGCAAGTGGAAAACCAAAAAGGAACACAGATTTAATTTCCTGGCATAGTCCTAAATAACAGAGAACCATGCAAAAAGCAGCCAGAGGAAAGCTATCAGAGAGCTTTGGGCTGATTCTCCTAACTGCTTTGAAAGTTTAGCCAACTTTTAATTCTGAGGGCCTGTTTGGAAGAACTATTTCTATAGACGGGAATAACCCTGGGAATACGGTGGAAGCAAAGAGTAGATAGAACCATAGCCCCTAGCATGGTAAGGAAAGAAACAATACATAAGCCACATTACAATGTTGGGCAAGCCACTTAATTACTTCCATATGCTTGGTTGGCAAAGATGTACTCTCCCTCTGACCACAATGTAATAAAAGTCATAACTTATTGTGAAATACACCCAAAATATGATCCTCCCTCTTGATCATCGTATTCCTCATTTCCCAAAGATATTTCCTATTTCCTTTTTTTGGAGACTGCATGGAATCTAACCCAAAGACCCATAGCTCAGAAAAACCACTGGTACCTGAGACACTGCTACTTACCAGTTCCAATGGATAAGCCACTGCTATTGGAACGGATGGTCTTAGAATTCAATACTTTCTCTGAGGAAAAATATTCAGTAGGTAAGCATCAGAAACAGCTATAGGCAAGAAAAGTGAGAAGACTAGACTAGGGAAATAATATTCGAGATAACAGCTATCTCTCACTCCAGATAACTTTATAAATACTTACTGTTCTAGATATTAAAGCACCACTAGCTACCCTAACTGTATCCACTATGTAAAGTAGCAATTCTTCTTAACTGCTCTTTGGAATTACCTGAGAAGCTTTAAACAGTAGCAACCTAGGACCCACCCCAGAGATTCTGATTCAATTGGTCAGGACAATGGGATTTCCCAAAGCTCCTTGGGGGATTCTAATGTGCAGCCAAGGTTGTGAACCACTGATCTAATAGAATGGACTTGGAAACCCTCATACAGGCTTTTATAATTTAGTTCCTAACAGAGTAATCCTTATGCAGAAAACAATTGATTTAATTTCCTTTTAAAGGTATACTGAATGTTTTTCTCAAAAGCATGAACACAGGCAACAAATTAATCAGTGGACAACTAGAGATAACGATTCTATGGCAGAGGAAGAGCCCAAAGTTATCATGTTAAAAAAGTCAGAAGGTTGGAAATGACAAATGTCAGGAAATAACAGCGTTCTGTCCCCATCACAAGGCATGGCGTCACTGTTATAAGACTTAAAGGAACAGCCTCTTTTCTTAGAAACACTTCTGTTTCTAAGAATGTGACCATCAGTACCTTCAGTGTGGGTCTACCCTCTGTCAAATCCATCCCAACCCACACATATGAGACACTTACCAACAATGAGAATGGTGTGCCAGCCACGGCAAGATAGGTCTGGGACGTGATGCAGAGATCCAAAAATAGGCCGAGGCCATGAGGTGCAGATGTCAGAGCCATGTGGTCTCTCTGTGGGGGTCATTGCCAGGCGACCATTACCACCATTGCCCCAGGCAAAAATGTGATTATCTAGGGAAAAAAATTAAACAGCAGATAGTTTAACAGAAAAGTGACTTCCCTACTCTTTGGGTTCCCCATCTTTATGCCCGAGAGTTAGAAAGATTTCCCACTATGAACAAAACAAGGGAAAGCTGTTTATTCCCCTAAACAATTCCTGATGCCAACCTGGAAAAAATGACGTGTCTATGTATTGCCTGCCATCCATCTATCCACCCATCCATCCATCCACCCATCCATCCACTCATTCAACAACCTTTTTTGGTCATTCAACTGTTTATTGGGCATTGATTTCATGACATGCACTGCTGGAGGTGTGGGAATACAGCAGTGAATAAAACAAACTCGACTACCCTTGTGGAACTGACATTCTAGTCAGAGGAGACTGAACAGTCAATAAGTATCAAATACTTCTGGTAGTCATAAGTGTTATGAAAGAAGATACATGGCAAAGAAAAGTGGAAATAAAGACTAATAATGGGGTAGCATTATTTCAGATAGGGTAGTCAGAGAAGTACTTGTCCATACTTCAGCAGAGACCTGATTGAAGTGAGAGAGGGCTATGTGGATATGTAGGGGAAGAGCTTCCCTGGCAGAGAAAACAGCAAGTGCAAAGGTCCTATGTGAATAACGGGAGCATCACGAACAAAGAGTAAGAAGGCCCCTGCAGCTAGAGCAAAATAAGCGGGGGGGACAGTGGTCAGTAAAGAGGTCAGGAGGTAGCTGGAGTCCTGGTCATATAGGGCCATGCAGGCCACTATAATGGCTTTAGTTTTTACTGATTGAGATAGGAATCCATTAGAAGTTCTGAGTGTACTAATAGGTATTTAAAGGATTCATCAGGCTACTATGAGAAGAATCAATTGCAAGGGACCAAGGGTGAGCAGGGAGACCAGTTGTAGTAATGAAGATGGTGGGAAGTGGTTGGATATATTGTGAAGATAATCGATAGGACTTGCTGATGAATGGGATGTGGGGAATAGGATGAAGCTGCCATTTCGTGAGACAGGAAGGCTATAGGAGGAACAGATCTGGGCAGAAAATCGAAAGTTTGATTTTGACTATAATACGTTTATCTGAGATGCATGTAGCTTCTTATCCAAATCAGAGCATTTTTTAATGAAAAGGGGGTACTATTAATGATTAAACCTGGACAATAGGGATGAATGAGGACTGACCTGGGAAAACTGGGCTCTAAAGCCACCATATCTTTAGACATCTAAGTCCAGGGGCTGATGAATAACCGAGCCTGGAGTTCAAGGGTGGTGACGATATAAAACTGTCAGTGGATACAGGGAACTTAAGGTAATAAGCTCGCTTAGGGAGTGAAGGGGGACAGAGGAGAGATAGAAGGATTGAGCAGTTCCGGGCATTCTAGGACTTAGAGGGGTCAGATACTGCCATCAATGGCACCTGATCTATCAGCCTGTACGAGTCTGTTTTTTATGTGTCTCCCCTACCCTACTTAGACTGTGAGCTCCTTAAGGATAGGGGCTTTCTGAGACTCACTTTTATATTGCCAAAGCCTAAAGAGGACCTGGAACATAGTAGGCACTCAATTTATGTTGGCTGTGTGAATGAGGCAATAGAGAACAGTCCGGAAAAGTAGAGGAATACTGGGAGGTAATACGCCCAACCATGGAATCCAATTCTACACTCCTCATTCTGAAGTTTACCTTGTGAAGTACACAGATCTACTGAGGAGACATTACTTCCCTGAGGCCCTGTCAGGAAGTGCTGGTAGACTTGCAACACTAAATTTAATCCTCAGCGACATCCTCACTCTTTCTAGGTAACATTTCCATTTATCTAGCCTGACCTGACCTAACCAGTTTGCTCCCTAATATCCCTCATTTGGGGACAAGCAGGGAACATTACCGTGCCCCTCTGAAAGCTGCTTCACTTAAATATGGCAACACATCACTTATCTGACACCGTCCTTGGATCCCTCATGTGTACACAACAGGCACAGACCAAAAGAAAACAAAGGCATCTTAGATCATGAGCAACAAAAAAAGCTGAAATGAGTCAAAAGACAAGATGATAAAATGTGATTTGTTGTTCCCCCAGTCACAAGAAAGAGTGGCTACAATTAGTCCAGAAGGTGATACAGGAAAAAGAGAGAGAGAACAAAGAAAGAATGTGGAAGAGGGAGGGGATAAGGACTAGCAGAACTGGCAGTAAAGAAGAGAAGTGGGTGAGTTGCCCGGGTGGCTCAGTTGGTTAAGCGTCCAACTCTTGATTTCGGTTCAGGTCATAGTTCGTGAGTTTGAGCCCTGAATTGGGCTCTGCAATGAGCGTGGATCCTGCTTAAGATTCTCCCTCTCTCGGGGCGCCTGGGTGGCTCAATTGGTTAAGTGTCCAACTTCGGCTCAGGTCATGATCTCACGGTTTGTGGGTTCGAGCCCCGCATCAGGCTCTGTGCTGACAGCTCAGAGCCTGGAGCCTGCTTCGGATTCTGTGTCTCCCTCTCTCTCTGCCCCTCCCCCACTCACGCTGTATCTCCCTCTGTCTCAAAAATAAACAAACATTAAAAAAAAAATTAAAAAAAAAAAAGATTCTCTCTCTCTCTCTCCCCTTTCCTCCCTTCCTCCCCCACCTCTCCCCAGCTCACACATACACTTGCTTTCTCTCTCTCTAAAATTCAAAAAAAGGTTGGGGTGCTTCGGAGGCTCAGCTGGTTAAGCATCCAACTCTTGACTTCGGCTCAGGTCATAATCTCACAGTTTGTGAGTTTGAGCCCCGCATCAGGCTCTGTGCTGACAGTGTGGAGACTGCTTGGGATTCTCTCTCTCTCCATCTCTCTCTCCCCTCTCATATCTCTCTCTCAAAATCAAAAAGTAAACTTAAAAAAAACAAAGAGAGAAAAGTAGTAAAAGAGGCAAGAAAATGCCACAGAGAGAGCAATGTGAAGAAAGAGAGAAGAAAGTTCAATTAGACCAATTCCAATTCCAATTCCAATGGAAGCTGAGAGACACATAGTATTCAGCCCTTCAATCCTTACCAGTCCCTGAGGACATCACTGCAGTGTGGCTGACAGCAGCCAAGGAGCAAGATTAGATTATGTCGTTCTCCTCTCCAGCCACTTCACCCAACATTTATTGAAACCAACGTAGTCCTGGGCCAGGTATACATAGAAGTGTTTAGGGGTGCCTGGGTGACGCAGTCAGTTAAGAGTCTGACTTCAGCTCAGGTCGTGATCTCACGGTTTGTGAGTTTGAGCCCCACATCAGGCTCTGTGCTGACAGCTCAGAGCCTGGAGCCTGCTTCGGATTCTGTGTCTCCCTCTTTCTCTCCCCCACCCCTGCTCATGCTCTCTCTCTGGCTCTCAAAAACAAATAAAAAATGTTAAATTAAAAAAAATTTACACAGAAGTATTTAATAATTTTTGGGGTGCCTGGGTGGCTGGCTTAGTCAGTTAAATGTCCAACTCTTGATTTTGGTTCAGGTCATGATCTCACAGTTTGTGGGTTCGAGCCTGCTGTGGGCCCCACAATGTAGTGCAGAGCCTCCTTGGGATTCTCTCCTCTCTCTGCCTCTCCCCTGTTCGCATGCCCTCACTCTCGAAATAAATAAATAAACTTAAAAAAAAAAAAAGATTTAGTAATTCTTAAAACATTTAACCAAAAAAGTAAAAAAAAGCAGGGACTTAGAATATTAACTTGGCCATTATTTAGATAACTATTTTTTTTAAACAATCACTATGTTGAACACACAAAAAATTAATGAAGCTCTATGAGCGTAACAATTAGATACCAACTGAACGTATGATCCAGCTATATAACCAGTCTACCTCTTTCCCAGCCAAACCTTAAAATATAGCCATCCATCCAGAAAGCTTGAAATGACGTGTCCAGACTCACTCACCATCGGTGGCAGCAATGGTAAACTCATCACCGCAGGAGACCCTGACCACTTGCTTCCCACCTAGGGGTCCTCCCAGCAGGTTGATTCCTAGACGCTTCTTGTAATTCCCAACGCCCAGCTGTCCACACTTATTGCAGCCAAAGGTCAGCAGCCGGCCTCGTTCTAAAAGAGAAAAACAACCAGGCACACATGGGGCATGGAGTACAAGGGAAAACACGGCCAGAGCAGAGTTCCACGGACTAGCTTCTGGTTGTTGAGAGTATACGAATATAAAGCTTGCCACACAACCTTGCATCTATGGCAGCTAGGGTATCTAAAACTAATTAGACTCTGAAAGTTACTCAATATCGTATTTTCTAATATTGTATTTTAAATGTGAAAAGGGGTACTACCTTAGTAAATGGACAGATGGTACTAATTTAAAGGCAGTCATTTTCTGGAATTATTGGCATGGCACTGTCATTAAGAGATGTACTGACTGCGCATTTATAATGATTATTAAAACAAATTTACTTGAATTCCTGATTTGTTAATGAGATAATACTGGATGCCAGGGGGAAAACAGGAGAATGTATATGTTGTTAAGAAGGGCTACTACTAGGGCTGCCTGGCTGGCTCAGTCAGTAGAGCATTCGACTCTTGGTCTCAGGGTTGTGGGTTTGAGCCCTGTGTTGGGTGCGGAGATGACTTAAAAATGAAATCTTAAAAAAAAAAAAAAAAAAAAAAAAAAGGAAGAAGCACTAACACTTGACAGAATAAAAGAGCATGAGCTACTGAGGCCTGTGTAAAAAGTTGTAAACCAACTCACCATCAATAGCAGCTGTGTGAGTCTTGCCTGGGGCAATTGTACGGATCTTATAAAAGGACAGCTGTTTGGCCAAGGTAAAGGAGGTTGTGTAGGGAACTTCGTGGTAAGCCTGAAACAAGATAAAACACAAAGCAAATACTCGTTAGGTAAAAAAAGAAGGGGTAGCAGGCTGAGAATGTTGTCATGGTGACCAAAAGGCCTTTCAAGCAAATTTGTTACTAAGTAGAAGATGCCAGGTAGCTTTTCATCTCCAACAGAATACAAAACGGAATAAGCTCAATATGTCATCAGAGAATTTAATCAGTATATGAGGCAGGGCTTCCCGACAACAAAAATTTTAGATTCCTAATCTAAGAGTATGTAAAACATTAACTCTCCGTCCCAGAAAGTATCTACATGAGGATACAACCAGGGACACTTATGTTGGGTATAAACACTGTATATCTAACAAAAGCAGGGCAAAGAATTAAAATCTTGAAGACTCTCCAGCCCAGAATGCAACCAGTTTACTGTGATCTAATTGCATCTACAAGGCAGTGTTCTCAATGTGTTAAAACCCACGTTCCCTTTAGATTAGTATTAAAAAATTCCTCTCATGTAAGCTTAAAATTTCACAACAAACCCAATGTTATAATAAAACTGAAATCAAGTAATGGTAATTTTGAATATGCCTTTTCAAACTATGCAGACACCCTTCCCAGATTTGTCCCAAATTTGTACTCTCCCATTTGAGAATCAATACTGCAGAGATTACTTAAAAATTCTTATCTCTTTCACTGAGTCAGGAAACTTTCTTCTCTTGATTCTTTAGAACATGACAAAAACTCATTATATTAACACAAAGAGGAGACTTAATGTGAATTTCACAACATCCTTGAAGGAAGTGAACAGTAATTATATTTACTAAGCCTGTACAAGAGCAGTGATTTGGGAACAATAAATCTAAAAAACTCTCCAGGGAGATCATGCATGAAAATGTGTTTCTTTTCATGTCAATTATCTTGTACCTATTTTAGTGATAGGTAGAACCTGAGTTCCGTCACTTGATTCTTTGTAATCAATTTATTTGTTGAGGCATAATAAACTATAAAATATTGTACAGCTTGAAAAATTTTTCTGTATGGGGCGCCTGGGTGGCTCAGTCGGTTAAGCGTCTGACTTCGGCTCAGGTCATGATCTCACGGTCCGTGAGTTCAAGCCCCATGTCGGGCTCTGTGCTGACAGCTCAGAGCCTGGAGCCCGTTTCAGATTCTGTGTCTCCCTCTCTCTCTGACCCTCCCCTGTTCATGCTTGGTCTCTGTCTCAAAAATAAATAAACGTTAGAAAAAAAAATTAAAAAAAGAAAAAATTTTTTGTATGCATATAAATGTAAAACCACCACCCAGATCAAAATATAGACCATTTCCATGATCCTAGGATCCCTTCTCTTTATACCCATACCCCCCACCCAGAAGTTACCACTACTTTGTCTTCTGGTATCTATAAATTAATTTTGCCTGTTCTTAAGCTCCATATAATTGGAATCATATAGTACGGACTCTTTCATGGCTGGCTTCTTTTGTTGAACATAATAATGTCTGTGAAATCTTTTTTCTTATGTACAATTTCATGGTCACTAACCAAAAGCATTCCCAAAGAAATTCCAGCCTAAGAGAAGTTCTGACAGTGTGGTGAGGACACCAAAGAGGGTACTTACTTCATGGTTTATGATTCCAGACATGCACTGATTCAGACCCAGCTTATTGAATTCATTGAGTCCACAGGCCAGCACTTTACCTGACTGGGTCAGCAGAAAAGTCCCATCACAGCCACACTGAACTGCGACAATAATCAAGGCCTTGGGAACATCCACCTGCAAGAAAAAAAAAAATCAGAAAAAAAAAAAAAAATCCCCCAAATGTAACTTGTACTAGGAAAAAACCCTCAAATTTTGTGATGTCCTGCATCTGGCAGAACTGACCACAGTAAAGACTGCTCTATCATCTTCAGATTTTCCCAGCAGCTTATTGTTTTAACAAGGAGCTCAAGTTTTATAATTAAGTAAAAGGCAGCTGTTCCAGGTTGGCTCAGCAGTCCTGTTGAAGTTTGTTTTAGCAATAGGTCTTATTTAGAAAGACTTCTCAGAAAATGTTGGGAAAGGAGAAGCTTCGATCCATTGCTGATTTTTGTTCTCTGAGATGGAAGGCCCCATGACAGTTACAGAAGAAACTCAGTAGCCTTGTAGGGTCCTAGTCTGGTCACATTATAAATGAGGTGACAGAGTACTGAGGAGGCAGCCAGGACTTCCAACTGCTCACATCCCTCTATAACTAAATAAACAGAGCTGGAGAATGGTAGGGGGATAGAATGGATGTCTGTGAAACCTGAAAACTCAAACTTCAGTGCTTCTACTGTGGCTTTTTGAAGAGAAACAACCATGAAATCCACTGAGAATGGTCCCACAAGTGATAGAAGTTAATTTTTAAGATGTTAATGAGCATTGTTAACAGTGAATGGTACAGTCGATTCCTGTCAACCTTCCAGTGGGCAGGCAAGCCTGTGACCCAGGGTGGGTGTGAGAGAGGACCATGTTCTTCCTGCAGCTGCTTTTAGCTCCTGGGCCAGCTCCTGCAGGGCTAGCTCCTACAGTGCAGACAGTAATTAGATATTATGTTTCGTACAACATGACCCCTCAATACAAACACATATTTCATCTGGTGTCCAAATGTGGAAATGGGGAGGGGGGGATGGCTGTGTTGGGTTAAGAAACAATATACTGCTTTCCAGTATCTTCCCAAGGAATTTTCTGGGTTCACTGTACTTGCTGATTTTAGCTGCCATTCCTGAGTAAGATGTGACTCCACAGTGTCCAAAGTGGCCATATCCTCTTTCTCAGCTTTTTATGATTTAGTCAGATGACAAGATCACATAGTGCTAACTCAGGAATTCTGGGTTGTCAGTCTCCCAGAGAGAAAATATTTCAGAAATAAACACCTTGACATGAGGATTCGGAGAAAGAGGAGTCTGTATTATTACTGGAGTCTGTGTGTCCTCTACACAGGCTCTAGGAAGAAGCTGCTTCTGAGTTTACCTTTTGTGGTGTATAATAATCCTCTTCTGAATCCAAACCCAGTCGTCCTGAGACATACATAAGAAAGAAAACAATGAAAATGAGGGTCTTCTTCCCAATGAAAATATTCTACGGCATTCTCTTCCACCAAATCAACACTTCTCAAGTATAGGCTACATGTGTTTAGATGCATACAAGCTTGAAGTCAAGTTGGCTCCTGGGAATAAGTGGACAGAGACAAATCTATACCTACCATATTCACCACAGCCCCAAGAATAGACTTCTTTGTTTCGTGTCAAAACCACCACATGATTATCTCCACAGGAGACCTGCTCCACTGGATTGTTCAGGAAGAAGTTCAGCTGCATGGGTTCTAGTACTTCGGGCCCAGCAACCTTGTCCACCCCCATGCAGCCATAATAATCAGATCCAAAGGCATAGAGCTGACCCTCATCTGCAAAAGAAAGAAAGGCATAACACATCAAAGGAATGACTCTGTCCAGCCGGAAAGCTGGGCAGGGCTGGCATGAGAACTATCCCAGCCACTGATCTTATATGAAATGACTGCATCAGAGAAATCTGAAGGATAGACTGTGCAAGTCTAGAGTTATTTTTATTTAGGAGTCATGTGTACTGTTATAATAATTTTTAAAAATTGGTAGTATTATGCTGAAATTTTATTAGGGCCATCTCTATTTTCTAGAGAAAAGGAAAAGTAAGCAATGGCAAGACAAAAACTAAACTTTAGCTCTTGATTCCTGATTTAGTGTTATTTACACCTGACCAGGTGGTAACGTTATTTTTCCTCCAACTGGGACGTACAACATATTTCTCCTGATCCCATGAGATTTGTTATCTGTGTGCCTCTATGTGCTATTTGCCATAGAAAATTGGGCATGTTATTATTAATGTGTGTATCCGCTCACTGCCTTTGGTTCATGAATATGGTCTTTTGCTGTAAAATCCCAGCTGAAACTGCACAGCATTAAGTACAATACTTCACTTTAAATGCACTTTGGATGCTTTCTGTTGATGGCTTACCTGTCACACAGACAGTGAAATCATCACCACAGGACACCTGACGGATAGCTCTGCCTTGCAACTTTTCCACATGCTTTGGCTGTCGGTAGGAGGCTTTGTCTCCGTGGCCCAGCTGACCATGGAGTTTAGTACCCCCTTGCATGTTCTGTGAAATAAAGAGGTCTTGTAAAGTTTTAGCTTTTCATGCGAAAAGCTAATCTTCAAAAAAACTTCCTATCAAGAAGACCAGGAGCGGGGCACCTGGGTGGCTCAGTTGGTTAAGGGTCTGACTCTTGATTTCAGCTCAGGTCATGATTTCATGGTTTGTGGGATTGAGCCTCACATAAGGTTCTATGCTGACAGCATGGAGCCTGCTTGGGATTCTCTCTCCCTCTCTTTCTGCCCCTCCCCTGCACGTGTGCTCTCTCTCTCTCTCAAAATAAACAAACATTAAAAAAAATAATAAAGAAAAGAAAACCATAGGAAAAAATCAGCTGGAAATTTAGAAACGAAAAAAAAAATGGGTAAGGGGATTAAACCTTTTAATGATAGGTAGTATAAAACCCCTGCCAACAGGTAAAGATTTAAAAGTATCCAGATTGCTATCCATCAAGACTTAAAAGAACACATTCCCAATTCTTTCTCCTTCAAGTCTAAGGTGAACTTTATATTTAATTATGAGTGCTGGTAAAAAAAAAAAAAAAAAAAATCCGTACATAGTTTAATTAATTTGATTGTTTTCTATAGGAGTATACTCTCTTGGAAATCCTTACTAGGAGTTTTACAAATTTTGGTCACAGTTTCCCTGAAGTATGGAACAATTATAAAGAATCTGGCTATATCAAAGAGGCTGCTATACAGCACTAAGAATAGTCCCAAATGACTTTTCAACAGTTTTATAGGGGCTGTGGCAGCCCCCTAGGGGCTAGTTCCTTAAGGGACAGGGCTTTAGGAAGTAACAGTTAACATGCATGCATGCATTCATTCATTCATTGATTCTTTTAATCAATCAATCATATCAATCAATCAATAATTGTCTACTCTGTCACGCACTGGGGACAAAGCCTGGCCTTGTGGAGAAGCTATCTGAGACTGCTGGAAAAAATGAGCTCTCAGGAAGAAAAGGAAGAGTGAGAAGAATTGACGACCAGAGACAAAGTTAGGTAAAGGAAAAGCACTCTGAAACACATGAGAAGGCACGCTATGGCCAAAAAGACAGGAGAAAAGCCAAGAGAAGATGTTCTCATGGAAGTCAAGGGAAGACACAGCTTCAAGGAGGGAGAGATCAACTATGTCAAATGCTGCTGGAATGTCAAGCAAAGTAAGGACTACAAAGTATATGTATTATTTCCACAATTTATAGGTCATTTTGTTAAGAGTAGTTTCAATCAAGTGGCAGGGACGGAAGCTGCATTGTAGGCGAATGAGGACTGAGTGGCAGATAAAGGAACAGATAGCAAATACACGCAATTTGTTCCAGAAGGTGAGAGATAAAGTGAAATCTAGAGGAGAGCAAAGAAAAATTCTGAAGATATACCTAGCCATCTTCGATCACTGACACAGGTCTTAGAATTTTCCTGATGTGGGAACACTGCTTCATTTGTTTATAAAACTGTTTCACAGATACTAGTTGCTCTGAAATTCATGGTAACAGAACAGAGTAATTAAGGGACTTCCTGAAATCACCCAGCTGTAAATAAGAGTCCAGTCTCCTGAGTCTAAACCTAGGGCTCTTTTAATTCTTTCTTCCCTTCTTTCTTCCTCTCTTTCATTCATTCATTCATTTAAAAAACACTTACAAATGACCTAATATGTACCAGGCATTGGGGACACATCAGTGAACTAGACAGACAAAATCCTTGCTCTCGTTAGAGCCTACATTCCATCACTCCACACTGTCATTCCTGTGCACATGTTCAACTAACAAAATACTTAGACATCCTCAGCCCAGTAAATAATTAGGCTTACATCACTATTCTAAAGTACTTAGCTTTCACTTACCACCCAGGTGTACAGTTCCTTCTCCACTGTGACCACAGCAAAGTGGGTATTCCCTGCACACACCTGCCGGGCACTACAGCCACTCTTGATGACATCCAGTTTCTGGGGAGTGGATTTTCCACCACCCCAAACATAGACTTCACTGGTTCGTGACGTTACCACAGCAATGGGTGCTTCAGTCACAGTGCTTGACCTGTCAACAACCCCCAGAACAAAGGCACATTTAACATAAAAACTGTATCAAAGGAAAATGCTTCCAGTCCGTTCCCAGAGAAGAACCGCCAATTATGGTATGAGAAAGTATGTTCTTTCTCGACAACTTATTTCAACCCTCTATCATAGCAGGCTCTGCAATTTCTGCCTCCGGGCTTCATCACAGCTCAGCCAGATCAGATTCCAGTCTGGTCCATAACACCTACACTTCTCAACTTTTCAACATTCATCATGGTAATCATGACCGCTACAGCACGAGGGTGAAATCACAGCTTTCTTTTTCTCAGAAATAACTATCTGACATTTACGCAGATGTTGGCTTCTGAAAGGATGCCAAAGGCTACTTACTGGGATCAAGCAAGGCATAGACCAAAAGAAAGAAAGACCCCCTGATGGTAATTTAAGATATATCACTTTTCACGAGTCTCTTAGGCATTACCTTGGTCTTTTTGTAGGTGCATTAAGCAGTATGACTTTTTCCTCCATCTCTCTACCAAAAAAAAAAGCAAAGATACGTGAGTGAAAGAATTGGTTCCTACGCTGCACCAATGTCTCTGAAATACACTTCACAGGTTTAGTCCTCTAATAAACCATATGTCTCCAGCAACACGACAATACTTTGGGGAAAGTACCTTGATATGATTGGAACAGTTATACAGGCCTGGCTTTGGACCATTCATTAAATAGGAAGGGGCCAGCAGTTTGGGGACATTTGTTTTCTATCACCAAAAAACATTCCAAACTGGAACAGAGAACCTCGAGAACCTCTGATGCACATTTTAAATACCTGACATCTCCATCTAGTCTGCCCACTGACTTCCCAAACTCACCATCTCTAAACCTCAGTTCATTTTTCTTCTCCCACACAGCTTTTCTTTCTGACTCTCCTATTTCTGTAACTGGCACTCCCCATTCTCTCAGCAGACTACACTTACAACGTTGGTCATCCTGGACTCAGGTGTCTCCCTTTCTTCAATATTTGAGTCCTACAGATTCTACCTATGCAATGCCCTTTATAGTCACTTCTGCTCTCCAGGCTTGCCACATTAGCTCTGGGCAGCTTTGCTTCCTGGAATGTAGTAGCACCTCCTAACAGGTAAGACTTAACACAGTACCAACTGACTTTATTCAGTCCTATACTGATTCAACACCAAGACTAGTTTGCTAAGTAAGTCTTCCTTAGGCATGCCCCTCATCACATGAACTACCCTCTCATAAACATCCATTACTTCTACACTACTGCTTAAATTAAGCACAGATCCCTTTGTCTAGCATTCAAGATTCTTGACCTACCTTTTCAGCCTTTCTTCCTGCTACTTCCTCCCCATATTCTGGTCCAGGGTTCTCATTTTGCCTAAAACACTTATAGATGAATTCCTGGGGTGGTGTTTAGGCATCAGTATTTTTGGAAAGCTCTGGAGAGGTTGCTATTGAGAGTCCCAGGTCTAGAACCACTAACCTACTCAGGTAGAACTTAGTATTTCCTGAATATTTTCCGCAGTTCGCTATGTCTCTGCTTTATCTGGAAAGCTCTTATATTTTTTCATCAAAGTACAAAGTTCTAATGAAGTACTATGTACACATCTACAATTATCTCTATAAAAATTGCAATTAAAAATTATCAGTGGAAATATCTGAAAAGAAATTAAAATAGTGATTATATTGTTGGGAAGTAAGCCAGATAAAAAATTTAAATACGCCTAACCGGCCGCAAAGGATGATATTGCTGGACGATGTATGGGACATAAGTGGAAGGTCGGAGTGCTGTATCTGGAGTATTACACATTCTAGGCACTGAAACACTGGCTAGAGTTCAAGTGGAGAAGAACCAGAAAAGATTAATTAAACGATACCACAAAATAAAGGTACTGACCAAATAGCAAAGATTATGGAATTAAGTATATGCTTAGTGTATCTAAGAGCAAGGCTTGAAAAAGAGCACAGCAAAGGTCTGAATATTGGGAAGATACAGAAACAGAACTGGTAGGGGAGGAGGAAGGACAGTAAGACAAAAATAGTATAACAGGATGAAATATAGACTAGAACATTTAAGAATAATAATGGGGTGCCTGACTGGCTCAGAGGAGCATGTGACTCTTACTCTAGGGGTCGTGAGTTCAAGCCCCTTGTTGGGTGTAGAGATAGGAAGGAAGGAAGGAAGGAAGGAAGGAAGGAAGGAAGGAAGGAAGGAAGGAAGGAAGGAAGAAAGAATAATAAAGAACATGTCTTTTTTTAAGTTAGTAACTGTTTGAAGCCTCTTATAAGACGTGAGGGATAAAAGATCTCCTTCCTACCTCTAGAGACCAATGCCACAGAATAAATCTCAGGAAGTAACCTGTCAACAATGAATCAAGTCTGATTTCAGGACATGAGCAAATGTATCTGAAGAATACTCCTCTAACTGAAATCTACCATCTGAACACATGTACTGAAAAACAAAGGCCCACTCTAAATCCACACTACTGTCTGATCATTACTGAGCATCTTGTGCCAAGCCCCGGGCTGAGCACTTTAGATACATTACTTCCTTTAATCCCTACCCTACCTGGCTTTATAGAGGAGGAAATGAAAGAAGAGAGGTGTTAAAGAACTTGACAAAGATAACAGAACTCAGATACAAATCTAAGGATGTCTGAATCCAGAGCTCTCCTCTCTTAATTACTACACTCTAATGCCTCAACTCTAGATTAAAACTCACAGATGGGGGGAGTGCAAGGTTCTAGGGTCTCATCATATAAATTCAGAACAAAATAGCACAAACTAAGGAGGTGAAAGTCAGGAGCTCCTCTCAAGCAACAAAAGAAGCGACGTTAGTAGAAAACAGCACCAGAGTGGCCAAGTCAGGAAACACTGCCCTCTCTTGTGGTCCTTTGATCAGGCCTTCAACAATCAACCATCTATATAGAAAGACAACAGAGTGACTTCTCTGTACTTTACCTCCTGCGTTTCCTGAGAAGGGGACGATCCAGAAGTTCATCTGCTGTGGGTCTCCGCTCAGGATCCTAAAAAGTACAAACTGGGTTAGTTTTAATTTAAAGGAAAAGGGAAAAATGGGATCTAAAGAGGCATTTTACTTCCTCTTAGAAGGCTGTATGCTAAAATTACTCAAAGACCACAGTGTATTATCCTTTTGTATATTATCTTTATGTTTCAAAAAACATAATGCCTTTTTTTTTTAATTTTTTTAATGTCTATTTATTTTTGAGAGAGAGAGAGAGAGAGACATGGAATCGGAAGCAGGCTCCAGGCTCTGAGCCATCAGCACAGAGACTGATGCAAGGCTCAAACCCACGAACCGCAAGATCATGACCTGAGCTGAAGTTGGACGCTCAACTGACTGAGCCACCCAGGCGCCCCAAAAAACATAATTTCTTATGTCATATTACATGTTTCACGCATATCATCTCATTATCATCAACACTTGTACATGAGAATGCACCTTCCTTACTTGTTCAGTTAGGGCAGTGACTCTCAAATTACAATATATATAGCACTTAAGAATCTCCCAGAGTGGGGCCCCTGGGTGGCTCAGTCAGTTAAGCATCTGACATTGGCTCAGGTCATGATCGCATGGTTCCTGAGTTTGAGCTCTGCATCAGGCTGTGCTGACAGCTCACCTGGACTCTGCTTCAGATTCCGTGTCTCCCTCTCTCTCTGCCCCTCCCCCACTTTTGCTCTGTCTCTCTCTCTCTCTCAAAAATACATAAACATTAAAAAAAAAAAAACCAATCTCCCAGAGTGCTTGTTATAAAGATTTCTGGGATTTACCTACAGAGATTTGGATCCACTTGGTGTGCGTTGGGTCTCAGGAATCTTCATTTTTTTTTTTTTTTCAACGTTTATTTTTATTTTTGGGACAGAGAGAGACACAGCATGAACGGGGGAGGGGCAGAGAGAGAGAGAGGGAAACACAGAATCGGAGAAACAGGCTCCAGGCTCCGAGCCATCAGCCCAGAGCCTGACGCGGGGCTCGAACTCACGGACCGCGAGATCGTGACCTGGCTGAAGTCGGACGCTTAACCGACTGCGCCACCCAGGCGCCCCTTCATTTTTTTTACTTGTAAAACATCCCCATCCCCTAGTGATTCCAACACCTATGGTCCATGAACCATATTTTGAATAATAGCAACCTAGACGACACTGCAAGGCAACTGTGAAATGGCAGAACTATATTTATTCTGCACATTAGGAACTCTAAATTATCTCTGACTATAATTTTGTAAAATTGATTTACAAAAATTAATCTTGATCATAAAAAATGGAGCACAATGTAGATGGTAAAATCATTCCACAAATTAATTACAAAGTAAGAATTAAGAATCTGCTGCCTGAAGGACATAACTATCATGAATTGCCAATGCCTATTCTTCTAGGTACAGCCACAAATACATCCTACCCTGGGGAAGTGGATGTGGCTTTATACAGGTTCATCTATGCCATACTCCAAACACTACGGTGGGAAGGGAAAACACCAAACTGAAATCAGCATGTAAGTCACACTTACCTGGTCAAGGCATGCATGGACCATTTGAATCAGTTCCAAAGAGTACTGGCTAGAATCAACTTCCATGGCCCGGATTCCTTGTACAATCTTCACACACAAATTGAGTGGATTCTATGGGAAGATGATTATTCTTGGTTATATAAAGATTATAATCCACCAACAGGGGCTCTGAGATATCTGTGACTATTATTTAAAGAAATGGAAATATGATTTCTTTTATAAACTATTAATGTGCATCAGCAAGAAACGGTTAGGGATACACTGTTGCAATCAAGAAGAATGAAGCCAAATGGCCAACATGGAGATATGACTGTGTGGCCAGTGGCATAATACTCAGAGTATATTATAATCTGACCCTTCAGCTGAATCACAAGAAAAAGGAAAACAAGATTAGCCACGCTTCTTAGCTTTAAGCACCTCCTTTTACCAAGTAATCTGCTTCCTAATTCATATATCCTAATAATGGTTATGCAAGGGATACTCTGCCTCAACAGACAACGAGGTAAATAGTAAGATGATAATGATAATATAATAATACCATCAACACCTTAATCAAGAGACCACTCTGTACTAGGTAGGCATGTTACATGTATTATTCTTTTTAACCTGTGCAAACCTCCCTTAAGGAGGTTATTATGATTACCAATTCAGAGATGTAAAGTATCTTGCCCAAGACTCCACAGACAGTAAAAAATGGAGACATAACTCTAACCAAAGTCCATCTGACTCCAAAACTCATTTTCCTTCCACTATATTACTTAGGAGAATTAAATGACAGACCAGAATAAACTTCAGGATTTAGAAAAATAAATAGGTCTCGTGAAAGGCCAATGAATCTGCATTATCTTATATTTGCATTTTTCATATACATTATCGTAGCATCTCTATGAGGATATATATTTTTCCTTGTTATAGATAATGAAACAGAGGATCAAAAAGATGAAACGATTTGCTTAAGTTCTCACACGTGGCTTGCAGAAGATCTGAATCCATTTTTGCTACTCAGATTGGTCCACAGATAGCAGCATCAGCATTGTGCGGGAGTTTGTTAGAAATGCAGAATATCGGGGGAGGGGAGGGAGGCACCTGGGTGGCTCAGTGAGTTGAGCATCGGACTCCGCCTCAGGTCATGATCCCATGGTTTGTGGGTTCAAGCCCTATGTCGGACTCCGTGCTGACAACTCAGAGCCTGGAGCCCACTTCGGATTCTGTATCTCCCTCTCTCTCTGCCCCTCCCCCACGCGCGCGCACGCTCTCTCTCAAAATTAAATAAAACACTAAAAAAAAAAAAAAAAAAAATTAAAAAAGAAAAAAAGAAATGCATACTATTGGGACCTACCCAGACCTACTAAAAAAAGAGTCTGCATTTTAACAAGGTGCCCAGGTGATTTCCTATGTGTATGAAAGTTGGAGAAGCACTACTTTACATTGGGCTTTAGTTAGGAAGAAAAGAAAAAAAAGACTTAAAGGAATTTGTTGTCAGGAAAGAGGACAACAGCCTTGCTAGGGATGTAGTGTGTAACTTTTTATAAAAAATATCAAAACACTTTAATGAGTATTATATAATTTGCTTTAGCTTTAAAAAAAAAAAAAAAAGTAGCTGAAGCATAAGAAATGAAATGGTTTATCCAGACTACAGTGTCACATAGTGGATCCTAGAGCCAATTTCAAAATTATAAGTCAATAAATTTAAGTACAATGCTTAAAGCACTTGAGTAGGATTATTTCAGTGGGGACTGAATATAAATCTGGCACATAGCAATTTAATAATACACTACTAAACCCTTGCATACTTTTTTTTTTTGTCTACAGCTGATTTCTGTTGAAGAAATCAGAAACTGAGGGATAAATGAATTTGATTCTCTCAACCGAGTTATACCATTTGGAAGGACAAGGTGGGGATAATACAACTTACTGTGGCATCAAATGTTCTCTTTAGTGTAAGCAGTTCAAAAATGACACAGCCTACTGCCCAGATATCAGACTTGAAATTGTATTTTACTCCTTGGCAGAGCTCTGGAGACATGTAATATGGCGTTCCCACAAGCTGAACAACAAAGAAAACAAAGAGTAACTTCATTTTTGAGAGAACTATATTAATATTTCAACAACTAAAGTAAATTTCCCACAAACTAGTGATAACACCTATGAAACGTTCACGAGTATATCCCAAAATGTTTTTTATGAGATGATGCCACTATGGAGAGAAATTTTCTTTCACATCAAATTTCTTGGACCAATGATAAAGGGCAAAGACACTGTGGTATTTGGGAGGTACAACGGTGATTCCTCGATCACAGAGGCTTTAGGCCCACTGAAGACTTCATACAGATAAAGGCACAGTAAAAGCTCACCAATGGAAAAAAATAAAAAGAACTGGCGGTGGGGAGAAGATAACTGAATAAAGGGTCAAAGTCGTAACTAAAATGCATAGTAGTGAAACTCTGTAAATGACTCAATTTGACATCTGCAATACCAACACAGCTAGTGAATTTCTTTCAAATTTAAAAAAGATCTTCTGCCTTGAAGAATGGGTTTGGAGGGGTATCTGGGTGACTCAGTCGGTTGAGCGTCTGACTCTTGATTTTGGCTTGGGTCATGATCCCAGGGTAGTGGGATTGAGCCCTGCCTCAGGCTGTGTTGAGCATAGAGCCTGCTTAAGATATTCTCTCTCTCTCTCCGCCTCTGTCCCTCTATCCTGTTCTCTCTCTAAAAAAGAATGGGTTTGGAAATAAAAATATCCTGAATGGCGGTTGTGCCAATGTACCCCAGAAGTTCTAATAAAACTGATAGCCATGTTTATTTTTCTTAATATGAAATTTATTGTCAAATTGGTTTCCATACAACATCCAGTGCTCATCCCAACAGGTGCCCCCCTCAATGCCCATCAGCTCCTTTCCCCTCCCTCCCACCCCCCATCAACCCTCAGTTTATTCTCAGATTTTAAGAGTCTCTTATGGTTTGCCTCCCTCCCTCCCTAACTTTTCCCCCCTTTCCCTCCCCCATAGTCTTCTGTGAAGTTCCTCAGGATCCATAGAAGAGTGAAAACATATGGAATCTGTCTTTCTGTATGACTTATTTCACTTAGCATAACACTTTCCTGTTCCATCCACGTTGCTACAAAAGGCCATATTTCATTCTTTCTCATTGCCAAGTAGTATTCCATTGTGTATATAAACCACAATTTCTTTATCCATTCATCAGTTGATGGACATTTAGGCTCTTTCCATAGTTTGGCTATTGTTGAAAGTGCTGCTATAAACATGGGGTACAAGTGCCCCTATGCATCAGCAATCCTGTATCCCTTGGGTAAATTCCTAGTAGTGCTATTGCTGGGTCATAGGGTAGATCTATTTAGAATTTTTTGAGGAAGCTCCACACTGTTTTCCAGAGTGTGATAGCCATGTTTAATCAGCAAAGCCAGTAATTTTTAGATGACTTATACGGCATTTATAAATTTTCCTAACATTCTTTCTTTAAACTTGTTAAAAAAAAAGTCAAGTTTTGGTTTTACCAGAATACTGTTGATGAGAAAAACTCATATAAGGACACAATTGCTTCCTATGAAGCAGAGACTCCCAACCTTGGCTATCAGCATCCTTGGATGGCTCTAAATTGCTTATAGGCATATCTTAACATTATCAAAAAAAACATCAACAGGACAAAATTCATTTAATTAACTCACATTTTCAAGTTCAAGGACAGGGCAGTATGAAACCAGAAGAGTAATAACTGGGTCTTATAATTCCTAAAAAAATGAAATCACTGTCCTTAAAAATCAACGTATGTCTACTCTTTACCAATGGTCTTTCTTTAAAAAATTTTTTTTAATGTTTATTTTTGAGACAGAATGTGAGCGGGGGTAGGGCAGAGAGAGAGGGAGATACAGAATCTGAAGCAGGCTCCAGGCTCTGAGCTGTCAGCACTGAGCTCAGCTCTGAGCCGTCTGAGCCGAAGTCGGATGCTTAACTGACTGAGCCGCCCAGGTGCCCTACCAATGGTCTTTCTAAGTAAGGATCAGGGAAGAAGGGAGCCCTGCAGTTCAGACTATGTATGATATTAAGATCAGACTGTTCTCTGGGCATCAGCCTTTATTTGTAATATCAGGCTTCTGCACCAGAAAAATTCAGAGGAAACACAAAAAGAGATGTCTAACATCCTAAGCTCAAATATTAAATAAGAGATAAGCTGAAATCCACTAAAGATCCTAGGCTGGAAAAAATGATAGAGCATTTTCCTGTTTTCAGAAAAGTCTCCTGGTCAGTGTTAGAAAGGGCTATGAGGTCAGAGCTGTGATGTGGACAATGACTCTTGAAAGAACATCTCAGCATGTAAATGCCTGTTAGCAAGCCCAGGAAAAAACACTCCTGAAGACTTGCTTTATAAATATGCAGAACTTGCAAGAATACTGAGAAAAGTGTGTGAGATTTAGAGTGTACACTATCTCATGGTACTGGAAAGGAAAAGAAAAGAAAAATTATGACAAGGGCAACACATACTTACCGTCTCAGCCATGGAATACTCAGAATTAAGTTTCTTTGCTAGGCCATAATCTCCAAGTTTTATCAGGTTTGCCTTGGTCAGAAAAATATTTAATGTCTTTATATCTCTGGAAAAAAAAGATACCATATATTTATTATTTACCATATATTACCATATATTTTGCTTCATCCCCAACTCTGCCCAGAATTAGTACAGAATAAAATGTGTGGTTACCCCTGCTCAGACTGTTACAGGATCCAAAACAGTGGTCCCCACTTTCACACATATTTTAACATTGAAAAGGGAATTTGAGGGGCTAGAGGCAGAGAATTAACTTCATTCTCCGGGGCTTCATAGCACAGGCATGTCTCCCACACCATGGAGGACGTTAGGAAAATGGAGGGCTGGATGGAAAATATAGTGCCCCAGGTAATCCTGTAATTCCTATAAAGTGCACTGCCTCTTCAACTACCATTTATGCCTTGAACTGGTTGGTGTTAAAGTTTCAAATCTGTTAAGGCAAGGGAAGAGGCTGTGCATCTCAGCAGCGACATGATTCGGCTGTAGAGATCACCTAAATAAAGTCACTGGCTATTTTTCTAAAGATGAATTGATCCTATGCAACACAAATAAACTGCCTGGTTCACATTCTGGCTTCCTTAAAAAGGGAAAAAAACAGAAAAATGTTCTTTTTTTTTTTTTTTTTTTTTTTTTTTTTTTAAGTTTATTTATTTTGAGACAGAGAAAGAGAGAACACACACATGTGCAAACAGGGGAGGGGCAGAGAGAGAGGGAAAGAATCCTAAGCGGGTTCTGTGCCTCCAGGGCAGAGCCCGACACAGGGCATGATCTCACAAATCGTGAGATTATGACCCAAGCCAAAATCAAGAGTCAGTGCATGGCGCCTAGATGGCCCAGTTGGTTAAGTGTCTGACTCTTGGCTCAGGTTCAAGCCCCACACTGGGGGGCTCTGTGCTGACAGTGTAGAGCCTACTTGGGATTCTCCCTCTCCTGTATCTCTGCCTCTTCCCCACTTGTGCATGTACTCTCTCTCAAAATAAATAAACTTAAAAAAAAAAAAGTCAGCGCTTAATTGACTAAGCCACCCAGGCACCCCACAACAATACTCTGTGACTTTTGCAAAGAAAATGCAAGTGTAGCCATTCAATAACTATTGAGAAACACATATTAACTGAATGAACAAACCAACAAAAAGAGAAATACAGTACTGGGGAATCAACATTCATCTCTAGCAATGATCAATGACTTACTTCAGAAGGGTATAATGTGGAAATGTTCTTCTAATAGTTCTTTCCTATAGCTAGAAATGAATAGAAAGATGTTTTCCCTCCTCAAATCTGGTAAAACTGTGTAATTATACAAAACAAACAAACAAAATATTTTTGGGGGCGAGGAGGGGCAGAGAGAGAGGGCGACAGAGGATCCAAGGTGGGCTCTGCACTGACAGCAGTGAGCCCAATGCGGGGCTCAAACTCACGAACTGTGAGATTATGATGAGCTACCCAGGCACCCCAACAGCTTTTTATTTAAATTAAGACTCGATTATAAAATTAAAAACACTTGCCAATTATTATTGCTCACCGGGAACATTTACTGGGAATTCCAACCAATCTAATACCACTCCTCTCAGTGGCTTCTAGACTTTACTGATGAATTAATGAATTGAACTCTAAAGTATCTGTTAAAGAAGTGACTGAGTAGTACTTAGCTATTGAAGAGATTCTTCCTAGATCATAAACATAGTTTAACTGCAGGAAGTGAAGGTAACACGCCTCATTACTCACTCTTTCCTTCCTAAATTATATTAACGGAAAAGCCTTGACAGCTTAATCAAGAAAATAATAGTGCTGACGGGAGGCACATCCAAGGTGGGGCTCAGATTGGTGGGGAGGACTTCATCCCGTATTCTTTTACTCATACCTATGAAGGATTCCAGCTTTATGGATACAGCTCACTGCTGAAACAATCTGAAATAGGTACCACACCACCATCTGCAGAAAAAAAATGAATTATATTTGGACTGGAAATAAGAAAAATTCCATAAAGACACACACTAAAACAAAACAAAGGAAGCTACAACCAGAGGTTATGATTCAACATGACCTTACATCTCTTGCTTGGAGGTTGAGTAGACAAAGAAAAGTGGTAGGGGTAAAAATAAAAAACAGGTAATCATAAGACAGTTCCAATGTCATTATAAAATATAATACGGTGAAGCAGAGTTGTGGAAAGAAATCCAAGAAGAATGCAAAGGTATAGAAAACTGGGCATACCAGTATGCAGTAATAGAACCAGGAAAGAAAGCCCATAGAGAATCATGATGTGGAGGTAAACCGTTTAGGAAGCAGCTATAGACAGCTTCCTTGTTAGAGGTTTCCTTTCTCATGAATATCAACCAGGGCCTGGAGGGAGTCTGAACAAAAGGAAAAAAACGCTCTTCATTGTTGGAAGAGGAAATACAGAACTAGAATACAAGAATCACAGCATTACAATTCTAGCTTCCTTCCACAGAAATATGAATTACCTCTTCCTCAAACAACTTGTCCTTCTGGCGAAGGATTTTGTCATACAGGTTCCCTCCTGCAATTAAAGGAGAGGCAGGTTTGAATTGCTTAATAAAGATCAAAGCTTGACTTCTATATCTACCAGGGTTTTAACAGGTGACCCAAAGAAATGAAGGATTCTACTTCCTTTCCAAAGGAAACCCCTTCTTCTCTCTTGGCTCTTTACAAAACTCTTCCATCCCTCAAGTACTGTATCTAAAGTAATTTTAAAAGGTTCCCCTAAAAAATGAGGCTCAATACAAAAATGGGAAGTATGACATTTTTAGAAAAGAATAAAGGCCATTCCTATATTATCCCAATTAGCAAAATACCTTGAATGTCTTCATATCAGAAGACTTTCTTTTTTAGAACTCCTTTTAAAGGAATCTGCAATATTTTTGTAACAACTCTCTGAAGTGTGACTACTAGAACACTGGGTACCTGTGATGCAATGTTTTGTACATACAGGTGTATCTCATCGACAACTTCCTTTTCTATTGCGTACTGAAAAGTTTTCCCATAATTTACGGTACACCTTAGATTGTTTCCAGTCCTTACTCCCTTTGCTAACTCCTTCCTGTGGAATAAGTCTGAATTGGCTTCTCCCTTTCCTTTATCAAGTAACAGACTGCAAATGATCAGGGTTCATTTTACTTCCTACCTGCAACTATAACTTAGGCCTTAGCCCGGGCTCTGTTTCACAACTTCTTTTCCCCTGCAATTTAGTAACTTGTCACTTCAACAAATCTACCACCGTTCTAGTCCCTCCTAACCACAAAGGAAGTTACTACTTGTGGCTTCTGCTACTTTAGAAATATCTAATACAATCTTCTACATTTAGGGTTGATCAGAACCAGGAACAACCGTGGTGCACAAGAGTCAAGACAAAAAGTTAGAATTCTAGGAGCTTTCTCTTTGAGATTTAAGTGAAGAATATGCTGGGACTTCTTTAGCATAGCTAAAGCTTTTTTAGGGTAGCTTAAGAAAGGGCTTTGAGGGTTCTTCTATGTAATAAGGATAAGAGCTAGGACAGCATGTATTAAAGATTTGCTGCACACCAAGTACTATGCTAGGGGCTTTACATATTCGTTTAATACAACACCCTAGGAGACAGGTACTGTTTATTAATAAACTCATATTAAGGTGAGGAAGCTGAGGCACAGAGAAGTTTCTTGTGCAAAGTTACAAAGTTAAGAAGCAGTGGAGCTTGGGAAATGGGTTTAGAGTCTATTTTCTTAGCAAATGAGCTATACATACTGCTATCTTATAAGCAAAATGGTCCAAAGTAATCAAAGACCAGATATATTAAAGCCATCCTTTACTACCTGTCATTTTCATTCACCTATGATCTTTGAATCATTCTTCAAAAGGACAGTTTTGGTTGAGTCAGTATTAATAAATGTCCCTTATAAGATTTCATTAAATATACCAAGGAGTGCCAAGCTACACTATGTTTCTAGTGCCTAATTAGATGTCTAACATTAATGCCTAACTAATGTTAATTCATTAGAAAAAACCTTGAAGAGTGAATGTAAAATTCAACTGAATTAATAATTTGAAAATGGAACTATAAGCATAATAGAGAATTTGAGCATGCAGTATGCAGTATTCCTTCCCTTATTTTGTAAATCACTTCAAAATTCTCCAGGGTCTGAACTTATTTCTCTTAAACTCTCGAAATCCATTTAAAGTTGTTTTTTTGTTTTTGTTTTTGTTTTTCAAAGTAGGCTTCACGCCCAGTGCCAGAGCCCAATGTGAAGCTTAAACTCACAACCCCGAGATCAAGACCTGAGCTGAGATCAAGAGTCAGATGCTCAACTGACCGAATCACCCAGGCAGCCCTCCATGTGAAGTTTTTCACCAATGCATATACCTTATTCTCCTCTCCCCCTCAAGGTAGGTACAAGCACAATAATGTCTTGCCAGAGGAGGTCCCACTGAAGTCTACCTTACCATTACAATATTCCAGCTCAATCAGCAGAGTCGTATTGTCCATGAAATGATTGTAGTAGGCAATAATGTTGTCATGCTGCAGCAGCGCCAGAATAACAATCTCATTCAAGGCATCACGACGTTCCTTCTCTGACAGTCGGGTTAAATCAACTTCCTTCCACACAACCAACGAGTCATCCTACAACACAGTAATAGAGGTATCGTGCTTTCCTCTTGGCTGGCAGAGAATGAATCCACACCTGGATCTCTAAGCCTAGAAATAAAACTTCCTAGATGGGCACAGACGGACTCCTTTTATTTTTTCCTTTAGACAAAACAGGAACAGAATTTTAAGATTCTTCATAAAATTAAGCTTTACAATTTACTGCAGGACTAGGGAAAGCAGAGCACTAAGATGCTATTACATTGTGGCCACATTTAAATTTGCATGATGTCAGTTCCAGATAAAAAATAGGAGATATAGATCTCAAAGATCCTACTGAAGGGCATCATGACAAACTGCTAGTCATAAGCATTGAAGTAGGGCTAGAATACTGGAGAAATGGAGAACTGGAGAGACTGGTTATCTATAGCTGACCAGAGTTTCTTATAAAATGGAAACATTACACTTATCTCTAATTTTATAAATTTAGATTTCTCTAGTGATTTCTGTTTATGTTTTCTGGATAGGAATAAGTCATGCCTAAGGGTTCAGAGTTCACTTTCCTCACCTGCCCTATTTTGCAACTCTGTATCTCCTATAACTTTTATGTATCACATGTTTCCCTCTATCTGTGACAACTCACCTTCAGCTCCCAATACCCACTTCCTTTTATAACACCCACATTCTTTCCGGATACTGCTTCTTAGCCCAGAAGCATCCACACCTACATCACTCTCCCTATCCTTTAGAATGATTCGGCTAAGCCTTTTAAACTTTTGGGGGGGAGATATCCTGATAAACCTTCTACTGTGCATGTATTCAGTGCGACCGTTCCCTTTAGAACTCAGACACTAAAATGATATTTGTCCGTCCTTTTTCATTTATATACACATACAACTTAAATACTATTTGTTTACTAACAGGGCTAACTGAAATATAAGCTTCCCATCAAAATATAAGCTTCTTGGGGGAAACGGCTGCTTCTAATCAAACCTTTGTACATTCAGACCTAATAAACATTTGGCCAAATGGCTAATGTTGTGCCATTTTTTGAGAAGTGTAATCAAATTTAAATAAACCAACCTCAGTAATCAAGTTCAACATGATGGAAAGGCATGGATAAGGAGATGTGAAACGCTGTTCTAGCCCAAGATTTACTTCTAATTTAAGTGTCAAGTCCTTTAAATATACCGTCTTAGTTTCTTTAACTTAGTTTAACTTTAACACAAATAGTAATGCTCATCTCCTCTTTCTCATATTTTGAGTACAAATAAGAAAAGCAGAATACTAACAGTAACCCTAACATCATACATTAATGCGGCATTAGGATAAAAAAGAACACTTGAAAATTTTCTCTTGCAACCACCCCTCTCCTCCATCTTTTAGCCTTAAAACTATGCTAGCTTGGAACACACCCCAGAACTGCAGATGGCGTACTGATGGATGAATCATCATCATCATCATCATCATCATCATCATCATCATCACCTATAGTCTTCAAGTTTAAGACTTTAGTGATCAAATACAATTGATGGTTAGTTTTTGGAAGCAGAGTCACCACTACAGGGTTTTTAATATCACTATACATTTTGAACTTGGTGGTCAGTGATCTAGGAATGTCTTCAAAAGATGTGTATATATGCAATAGGGGAGGGGGGGTGGGTTATGTTCACATTAGGTTCTCAAAGGTCTCTTTGCCTCTCGCCACCCGAGAGGCTTAGAATATACCAAAAAGGTATTTCCCATGCATAAACACTGTGGGATAAACATTGATGAAGACAGCGATGACCCTCTCAGTGACGTTCTAGAAAAATCTCCAATTAAATGTTCATACCTGAACTTAACGGCAAAGACAGCCGGGTTGCCACTGATTGTGGGAATTCTGAAGCTACGCCCCTCCTCTCCACCCCGACCCTGGAGAGCTATACTGCATGAGGAAGTAAGTTTTGACAACACTTCACATTCGTATGCCATTTTTAATTTACAGTTTGCAAAAAGTACCTTCGTTCGATTCTCAAAGTAAGCGTAAAAAAATAAAGATTATTTTTGAAGGTAGTTATCATTAACCCCAATTTACAGATGGGTAAGCTAAGGCTCAGAGAAAGTTCAATGACTTGCTCCCTTCCCCGGGTTCGACAGAAACGCCCAGTTAGCATAAACAGCGATCTGACGGATTCCCGGTGCCGGTGAGCCGGAGACTGGAGAAGACCCCGAGACACACACCCCGCCTGCGGCTGCGCAAACCTAAGCGAGCACAAGGCGCAAGCCGCAGGCAAAGCCGGGAACCGGTCGGGGCTGGGAAGCGGGGCGGCGAAGGAGGGGCTGGGACGGCCGGAGCCAGGGGCCGCTACCTCGGTGCGGCGGTACAGCGTGGCCTCCCCGAAGGCGCCGCGGCCCAGGACGCGGATGGGGATGTAGTGCAGCTCCTCCTGCTCCGCCGCGCCGCCGCCGGCTCGCGGCCCCGGACCAGCACTGGGCCCCGGGCCCGAGTCCCCGCCACCCCCGGACTCGCTCCCGAAGTCCGAGTTGATGGAATCGCAGTGTCGCTCGTACTCGCCCAGCACCGACATGGCGGCGGCCGCGGAACCGGCCTGCGTGTCCCCGGCGGCGCTGACCACGCTGAGCCTCTCTCGCTTCAGACGCCGGCGCGCGGCTCCGTCAGCCCCGCAACCCCGCGAGGCTCCATGGTGGCTCCTTCCCCCCCCCCCCCGACCCGGAAACAGTTCCTGGTGCTTCCGGCCCGGCGGGCTTTCCTCCGCCTGCGCTGGCCCACTTGCTTAGCCCGGCGGCCTCGGCTTCCCTCCGTCCTTCCCGGGCGGCCGGGCTTGGCGGGCGCTGGTGGGGACGCCGTGGGACCGAAGGGCTCCAGACACGGCAGGGGATCACCGACGGGTCTGTAGACCACTTCCCCGATCCCTGACCAGGTCCCCAGACAGCTTCGAGGTCCGGAGGTCGCCCAGTCACCTCTTGGCGCCAGGCCTATCTCAAGGGCAAGTGATTCCACGTTGGACAGTGCTCTTTGTTTAGGGAGATATTAAAGATACTATAGTAAGCGGAAATATTTACTGCCTGTCATCTCAGTAGGTGGGCCCAGTTATTTCTCCCAGAACCCCCACTAGGTTCTCCCTGTTCTGTACTACTCCAAAAATATTTTAAATCAACTCTCCTGACACTCTTTTTCCAGATTTAACATTCTCCTTGCATCTGTCTTTCCAAATCTCTGACCGTCTGATCTCATGCAGCATTCTTCGAGCACTGAGGTGTCAATGTATTTGAGGGTGGGAAATCTACAATAAGATGCTCCTTACCCTTAAGTCACTAGGAGAATTGGAATACAGTTAAAAAAAAAAAAAAAAAA